GATCGCTGAATATTCTTGGATTGTGGGAAAATAAATTTCTCACAAACTTTTCGGAAATTTTTAAGTGACTTAATTTATACTCTCAAACAAATTTGTTGTTTCTAGTTCACCCATAACCTATTGCACTTTTACCAGTTTCAAAGCAAACCGTTACATAAAAAGTGGGCGTGACTACCTGAAATACATTTCGATACTAAAAATTTCAATATATTTATGATATATTATATTATTATGTGCAGTCGATGAATCAAAACTCCGCCTTCACATGAATAAAAGTGAAATTATTGTAATTGAACGCAGAGAGCGAACATTTTCACCAAGAAGCATGCAAGCGCATACAAAGCTAACCGAATGATTGATTAAGTAAGTTCAAGAGCACACAATGTTGCCAACTCGTCGCGAATCTTATAAACGCGCCAACATGAGACATTTGCATTTTCCCTCCGTGCCGAACGCTGAACTTGGCAATTGCACGTGGCTTCTTTGAAATAAATTACATTTGGAAAAGCAGCAACAATAACAAAAAGTAAAAACGAATCAAAAGCAATTATTTTAAAAGCAGCGTACTGAGGGCCATAAGTAGATTGCTAAGTATGTATATGTGCAGAGACATACTTACACATGAAAGATTCAGCAGTCTTTGTTACAATTTTCGTCTCCAAGTTGCTGGCGATGAAGAAACTGCGCGCCGAGTTGACAGTAATGACAATATAAGCTTATTATAGTAGCCATCATAAATAAGCCATTTGTTGGCCAATGACATATTGTTAGTGAATAATTATAAGGGTCTTTGTGGCTTCGATAAGTAGCAAGTATTTCATTGATGAAATGGGTAATAATAACAAATTGGTGCTTTGAAAAATGAAAATGACGTAGAATATTATGAAACTTGCAATTAAGCGCGGCATTGACTGTGAAAACGTTTTAGGGCGCCTAAATATTTCTGATGAAAAATTGACAAAAAGTAGACTTTGATTATTTTTTTTTTTGCAATATGATATATTTTTACTTTCCCTTTCCAAAAAATATTTTGAATTTGTTATTCCATACAAAGGGGGTATCGTGTGGTAATTATTGCATATTAACTTTTTTCAACATAATTTATTATACATATTTTCACCAACTCTTATGCGCTTGTTTGCTGACAACGTTAAAAGTCTGCAATTTTTTAAATCTATTCCATATAGCCCGAAATCGAAAATTGAGGCAACTCTCTCGGAAAATGTTGATAACCCCAAATCGAAAATTGGTGACTCTCTCGGAAAATTTTGATTCTGTATTGAACGGTGACATTTTGTTTCTTAGAAAATTTTACTATAAAAACTAAATTTCTTTAATTCATTTTTGGAAGCCTATATCTTCAACTTTCTCACATAAAGACAAAAAATTTGCCGTTATCAAGTAAGCGAGCTGTAAAAGAGCATTTGATTGAACAATAAAATGCACGTGAAGGAACAAACTCGGCAATTTTTCGCAGTTCAGACTGTGTTTGATTACAGTAGGCGGTAGCAATCGTAATATAATATTTCAAAGCAAGAACATGTATAAGAATGAGAATTGGAGAAGTACTGGGGAGTTTTCAAACAATCACAATCACAAATCTCAAATATCCCAGAAAGCTGGTGTTTTATATTATATTACCCTCAGCGTATTTTATTCTGAGAATATTTTCTAGCACAATTAAACAGAATTAAGCATATTTCAAAGTAATTAAATTAAAATGCAAATACGAGTAGAATAAATTCTAAACTCTTGTTAATTATCTTCCGCATTAATAATGAGTAAATTTTTCTCAAATATCCTGAGTGAATTAAACTAGTTACAAAACACTTTAGAATGCAACTTTATGTCGACCAACTGGCTTACAGCACGTATACAGCTTGCGATAATGATGGCTGAATCAAGTGCTGAAAGTCAAAGCGCCTAAATCTGGGTAAACAGATTCAGCTTGATAACTCAAGGAAGCTAAAATTCAAGATTTAGTCTTATCAACGAGCGAGTTATATACAGTTATCTTTCATGACAAAGATTTATTTGTTTGGATCGACAAATTGTCATATATTTTTAAAAATTTATAGAAAATTAATATAGCTTTTACAGTTCAGCAAAGCTATTTTGAAATAGTAATAAACCTAATTAGAAAAGACTAAATGCAATTTCCACTAATATGAACCGCAAATGCAGCAATTCAGTTGCTTTCTTTACAAGACAGAGATATCAATATGAGGAATTAAAAAATCGCTGCCATAAATATACCACCTGCTTTAAATATACTAGTCACATACCAGTTCAAAATCGACCAAAGGTTTAATAAATGCATCGAAAATGGTTTTATAACTCGGCGATAGACATGTAGTAATTTATTGTCTACCATATGTATATATTTTATCCACTAATAATATGGCTTGAGTAAAGTATGTTTAACTGCTGGATAATTCGCAGTTAAAAAAGTGACGACAATTTCCGCTGACAACTATTAATAACATTAATATTAATGAATGAGAAGTGCAACTTTTTACCTTTTCAGTTGATTTGCAATTCTCTGATTCAGTTTAAAATTGTTAACTGTTGTTTATCCGGGTTGATTTTGCGAAAAACGTGTGAATGCTAACTTCAGCTAACTAATTATGTCAATTAGATTAATTAAGTAAATGAATTATTACTTACTGGCTCAGCTAAATATCATATTTTTCTGACTGCATATACTTATGTGTATATCGAAGCGAAAAATAGTAATTTGAAATGGAATTCTGGTGAGTAATTACACGATGCAATTGCCAGGGTGCCCGTTTGTCGGAAAATTATTTTGTATATGATTATGTGAGAGGTGATTTTGAGCGTGACACCAAAATTTTTCAATATGTTTAGATTTCGCAATACAGGGTGCCTAGTTTTTCGTAATTTTTACAACATACAATTTTTTGGAAATTCCTAACACGAATTTGAGTTTTGCTTTTAAAAAATTACGCTAATTGTCTTGCTCAAAACGTTTACATTCATATAAAGTTTTTTTTTATCATTTACTATATATAATTTTCCAAATAACATCAGATTCTCGTAATGTTAATAAAAACCTTCAAATGCTCGATATTGATAAATATTTTCGCTTATGTCGTATATAATGATTTTTGCTACCCAATACTGACGTCCACACTTCTGATTAGCTTATTACCATCAATATCGCTCTGAGTGAAACATTAAGTTTTTTTTTTGGATTTATAAAAATAAAAGCACTTATTTTTTCGAGCCCAGACGCTTCGAGAATACCTAAATTTATAATAATAAATAAATATGCTAAGTGTACGCACCCTTTTTGTTTTATTTAGTTTGTTACGGAGTTAATAACATAATGAAGAAAAGCAGTTTCGAATTGAATATATATTTATATGTATACATAAATGATCAGCGTGACGAGCTGAGTCGATTACGCCATGTTCGTCTGTCTGTCTGTAAAAACGCGAAATATTCCCTCAGTTTTTCAGATATCGATCTGAAATTTTACACACGTCCTTTTCTATCCAAGAATATGCTCATTTGTCGAATAAGTCGATATTTGACTAATTTATGATATAGCTGCCATACAAACTACACTATCAAAATCAAGTCCTTGTATGAAAAACTAACAAGTAATCTTCACAAAACTTGTCGTGGATTATTATCCAAGCCAACAGTATAATTTTCGAACGAATTTTTTATATCGGATCACTATAGCATATAACTCGATATAAGTATATATGATCTGTATATTTTACAGTTATCACTGAATGCTCAGAAAATAGCTATAATCAAATGCAATAAACTTTATTCAAAGCCACAGTTTATTCAGCCGTTATAGGCATCATAATACTTATGTCAACGGTTTAACGGTTTCAATTCTTTCTATTTATGCGAAATAAAAACTTACAGTCTTAATGCTAATAACTCATTTTTTGCAGCATAGCTACACTAATGTCTGAAAATATTAGCGCATTATTTTATTTCTTTCTCATAATTTAACAATCGAACACTTACAAGTATGTATGTATGTATATACATTATAATATGTATGCACAACTATGTAGCTGTGTCTTCTGCCACGCCACACAAATTCTATTGTATGCTTTGTAAGAATAATTACACGCTAAAGTGCCGACAGCAATTACGTCGTCGCATTTAAGTCTTACGACCTTACATTATTTTATAGCATTTCATAGCAATGAGCAAAGATACGAATGAATCAAGCAGTAGAAGATGTAGCAGAAACCGAAAGAATCAGCAAACACAAAAAACCTCGACAAAAAGAACGCGACTGAAGATGAGCGTAATGATGAACCGCCCACGAACGCAAAATACTGAAGCATATATTTGTATATGTGAGTGTGTGAGCACAAAAAGGCGTTTGCAAAATCTTGGACTGTCAGTCAGCGTAACAATTATTTTATAGTAGGTAAATAAATTTTGCATACACGCAACCACCTTGCATTGTCTGCCTTTTTCGGCATAGCCATTTGCACTCACATTTTTTACACGACTGTATACGCACTGCCTTTTGCATTCGCATTGCACACCTTATGCAAATGGTCACGATTTTGCAATGCACAAAAATATTAACAGCAGACGGCTACTAACACATGCATGTTACTCATACGCAACGGCGGCCACAAAAAAACTTCGCATTGTTTGGTATTGCAGCTTTTTTCGTTAATTATTAAGCAACACGGCTGGTAATTAGTGATTTGCAAAGTGTTACAATACATACATACATACATACATCCATATATAAAATGTCGGTATGTAGCTATGATGCGCCATTAAGCCAAAGAAAGGACAGGAAGTCATCGAAGTAGGTAAACAGTAGCGTTTGTTTATTTCATGTAGGTGTAAAACTCGTAATTTCCTCAGTTTTTACGCTAATTACTTGCATTGTATATGTGATAGTGCGCTATTAACTGTTTCTGTTTTGCTTTCATGCTAATTGCCTTATTGATTACATGTGTATATACATACATAAGAGTACTTACTTTGATGAGGTGTAAATGTATAAAAACAACAGTGATTCACTTGTGACAACAGCTCTCTTGATCGCGTGAGGGTGACATTGGACTGTAAAAAAAAATAAAAAAAATATGTAATACAAATCAGTTGAAGTTAATAAACCATAAGCTTTTATGTCAGTTTTACATTCCCTTGCATGTTAGGCTTAAAGTTTAATTAACAAATAAATAATTAAATAATATAATTAAACCCAAGTTCCTCACAAATCTAAGTAAGTATATGTTCAAGAAAATATTCACTTGTAATTACTTAAATATGTATATATAGTTGTATCTCCGTCAGTGATAATTTTGAAAGTGAATTTTCTCACAAAATCTCAGGTATGCCGCTGCAATTATCGCGCTATTTAAATGCAAAGCTTGTACTGCGCATATTTTCAACGAAATAATTTATCACATTTTCAAATGGAATATTAATTACTTTGGGTAAGGCTTAGTTCCATATAGGGCAGGCAAGCGGTAGTGATGGCTTTAAGGTAGATTTTAGGTACAAGGGGAAGTACAGTAGCATTTTACGTAACATACTCATCGTAGTTAGCGCTAAAAGTGAGTGTTGTCGTTTTTATATACAGCATGCAAAGTTTTGATATTTAGGGAGACCACAAAAAATGTTTTTTGAGGTGGCCAGAAAAAAATTATTTAAAAAAATTGCCTTGAAAACTATTTAACTTCTTCAAAAATATGCCCACTAAAATTGCTTATTTATGGTTTTTAAGAGAAATACGCTGAAATACCACAATTTTTTATTTTACCAATATTTTTTTATAATTTTAATAGAGTTTTTTCAACAATTTGAAAAGAAAAAAAATATGAAAAAATTTAATTAGTTAGTTATTTAAAATCATGGCAACCTAGTTCTCTTCCATATTTCATCTTTCACTCTCAGCTTATTAATTTTATTATATATTTCCAAACTAGCATTACTTTTTTGTATGGTGGCAACTCGAACTAAATAACTATTTTTAATAAACTGTCATCCTAAAAGTATGTAAAGGTGTAAGAGTTAGAAGAATAAAGTTTAGGTCTTGCTAAAAATTATAAAAACGCTTTTGAGACCCGAAAGAGAAATAACGCACAGTATCTTAAAATCCACATTGCCGTATTTTAAAGAAGCAGATACAAAACGTTGTCATAGTAATGCGACGATGCAAAAGGCATGTGTTTTTACTTTTGCTGAACCAGATATACCTAGATTTGAAAACTTTGTGGAAAGCATATACAAGAGGCTTAAGGTATCCAAAAAAGGCTTCAGTAAACAAAAGGTATATATTATATTATCATGTTGTTGTTGTACCGGCAGAATTCTGTCGAGCTGACAGTGCTTGAAAATCCGCGGTAAAAATCCGGGTCAGTTCCGGTTACGTAGACCCGACGGTTGTGGAAACGGTATAATTCCATATATTATCAGCTTTCCCTATGCTTGAAACCTATAGAAATTTTTTATACCGACCGCCTTCAGTAAAAGGCCCAAAAAGCACCTTTGCTATCGCATTTCTAATGACTCTGAATACTCCTCAAACATTCCTAGTATTTTGAAAATTTTCAGACTGCTTTCTGATAACAAAATTCACATTTAAAACGCCAAGAGTTGTAAAATAAAATTTACGTCATAGCAATTTAATGTCCGTTACTCATAGGCCTCTCTAAATAAAAACAGCTTTGAGTCACTCATTTATTTGCAGTTCATTCCTTGTCTTGTGTCATAAAAAGTATTCAGCATCTACTTTTCAACTGCAACTTAGCAACGTAAAATCACGTCCCTCGGCGAACTTTTCAAGCGCTGCAGCTCTGACACACTTGTGCATTTCTCTACATCGCTTTCAATTTAATTAAAATGCCGCTGGCAGAATATATTCGCCTTTGTGCAATTTGTTGGTGTAACATCATAACTAATTCAAATCTGCGACACTGCGACAAAGTCAATTCAAGTCAAGTTCCCTTATATGAAGATGAACTTGACTTTACGCAAATTGGCGCTCGCCGTGCAACGAGTTGAACGTTAATTGTTTTCGAGCTCAATGGATAACAGTTGTTATTAAAAGGCGTACATATGTATATGTTTTTGCGTAGAAATGTTGGAACATTTCTAAAACCTTGGCATTTTTTTAATTTACTTCAAATTGCTTATTTTAGTTGTGATGATACTTGTTTTTTTTGTTGGCTTATGAGTCAGAGTGGAATTAAAAGTGAATTGGCATATTTCTACTAAATGCAAATAATAATGAGTTTATTTTCTGTGCTATTCAAACTATTTGAAATACTTAGAGATCGTGCAGGGTTGCGGTAGTCTTGGTCTGCGGATGACGGTAACGTCAAAGTCGGTAAAGACGGTGTCTTTAAGAAATGACGATAGGATGATTATAGGGGGGGGTCTGAAATCTGAAAAAATCGATGACGTAATTTATGGACGGCCCCTAAGACAGGATACTCAATAAGAAAATGTTGAAATGTTTCAACGTTGTCTTCTTCCAAACAACTACTATAACTTGCAACCGAAGAAGATTCTCAACGTTACCAGGTATATCACGACTTGAAAACTGCTGCAGTAGTGAAGAAACCTGAAACTGAAATTAATAGAATCTAGCAGTAACCTCCCATTAACATTCTCACAAGTTTTGACCAACTAATAGTATATTTCAAAAAAAAAAAACAGAATTGAAAGCAGGAAAAATATGACCTGAGTTGATATTTTAAATAACATAGTGCCACATAGTAACATTCCATTTGTTTAAAAGTAAAACTTGATATGCTTGAATATTTGTTCGTAAATGTACCGAAATGCACGTTTAAAATAATATATGGATTATTTCCGGCTAATGCCGTTAATTAGAAAACAACAATAATTAAAATAGTGCTTCCCAAACGTATCAGTGACTTGATGCAAGGAATTTTCATCACAAATTTGCAAAAGTTTTAGCGCGTATCCGATAAAGCATGACCAATATTACCATATGTACCGAACTCAAAAAAGATTTTTGTTGATAAAGCAATACTTTCAATTCTAGAGAAAAAAATTATTATTTTTCAAAATTCAGCAATAAAAATTGAAATCAAATAATTTTTAAACACTAATAGAACAAAAAGATTTTTAATAATCACCTAATACTAAGTAAAGTTATTACAATAGACCTAAATGTCGAAAAATAAAATTAAAAAAAAATAAAATTCAAAACACAAAAGTTTTAAAAACTTAAAAATTTTCATTTCAAATTTTTGTTTCTCCCTACAAATTTACTGTATGCTCTGACTTAGTAGCAAATTATATATGCAAGTTCACACATATATATATGTGTATCTATGTATGTATGTGCGTGCGCCTACGTACCACAATTTATAAATTTTAATGCACCAATTCCATTTGCAACAAACCGCAAAGTAATCCGAAATATAAAAACATATAAATAACGGCATAACATAACAAGACAAACTTTTAGCGAAGTTGCCACACGATACGCACTCACTCGCAAGTCCAGACAGGCAATCGCTCATTTTAGACACGTTTAAGTGCAACAAATAAGAGGAGCTTCACGCAAAGCCCGCAAAGCCATTAACGAAATATGAGAGCAGTTATGGCGTGTGTGCGAAGAAAATTTCTGGTGCGTAGAATTTTGGAAAAAATTAAACAAAAAAAAAACTACTTGAATGTGCCAAATGAAACAAATACCCGCTTTTGAAGACAAAAAGGCAAAAATATGAAATTACAAAGTTATTGGGGTTTCAGAAGAGAAAGTAACAGAAAACTAATATATCTACAAAAGGTTTATTTCAATGAAATATAATAACATAATATAACACAATTTAACTTAACTTATCATAATTTAACTGAATTTAACGTACATAACGCAACTTAACTTAACTTAACTCAATTTAACAAAACTTAATTTAACACAACTTATCATAACATAACCTAACTGACCTTAACATAACTTAGCTTAACTTAAATTAACTTGACTTAACTTAACCTACTTTAACTTACCTTAAATTAACTTGACTTAACTTAACTTACCTTAACTCAACTTAACTTAACTCAACTTAACATAACTTAATTTAACACAACTTATCTTAATATAAACTTACTCTCGTTAACATAACTTAACTTGACTTAACTTAACTTAACTTAACTCAATTTGGCTCAATTCAACAAAACCTAATTTAGCACAACTTATCTCAACATAACCTAACTGACCTTAACATAACTTGGATTAACTTAAATTAACTTGACTTAACTTATTCTTACTTAACTTAACTTGACTTAATTTAACTTAACTCAACTTAACATAACCTTAACCTCGTTACCATATCATAACATAACTTGACTTAACTTAACTTAACCTAATTTAACCTAACTTAACTTAAGTCAACTGAACATAACATAACATAAAATATTTAGTAACTCGTTAGCATAAAATCTGCGTCCGATAAATCCAAGACTTCTCCATCAGTTAAATTTGAAATTTTTCGAAATCCAAGTTTCTAAAATTTTAAAATTTACTAACCTCCCAATTTTAGGAAGTCGTAAAAATGTAATAAACTAATTTGTAATAAGAATCACGCACAGCTTAATCTTCCACCTGCTGAGCGTACGGGTTGCGTTCAAGACGCATGCAATCTTAAGCCAACTGCCAGCCAACGAGCATTTGCTTTTAACGCCAAGCGCAACACGAACGATATTGTGTTACGTTAGTGCGAGTATGGCAATAAACGTGGCCATAAAAATACCATACATACATATATTAGTAAGCTTATCTAGCGTGTCGCTATAGCTGGCATGACCGAAGCAGTGCGCCTTACTCGCTAAGTAAGGTGTGTTCTGCTTGCTATTAAAGTGTGTTGGTCGCTAAAATAAAAAAAGATAAGTTGAATTCAAAATCATACACATACATACATGTATATGTGTGTAGTTGATGTGAAGTCTCCACGCGTTGCCACGCATTAGTACCGAAAGTGAAAACAAACGAAGAAGAACTTTTATTCATTTCAGACACATGTACATGTGTGTGTGTGCATACCTCCGCTTGTACGTACATAGTATTTTTGGGTAATGAAGCC